AACTGCTAGTAGTAAAGTTCTTTCCACACTTCATGCATTTATATGGCTTCTCCCCTGTGTGGATCCATTTATGGGAGGTAAGTTGACTGCTCTTAGTAAAGTTCTTTCCACACTCCATACATTTATGTCGCTTCTCCCCTGTGTGGATCCTGTTATGTGAATTCAGATGATCCGCCCGAGTAAAGCTCTTTCCACATTCCATGCATTTATATTGCTTCTCCCCTGTGTGGATCCTGTTATGGGAAGTAAGATAACTGCTTTTAGTAAAGTTCTTTCCACACTCCATACATTTATATGGTTTCTCTCCTGTGTGGTTCACGTTATGAGAATTAAGACCCGTACTAGTACGAAAGCTCTTTCCACACTCCATGCATTTATATGGCTTCTCCCCTGTGTGGATTCTTTTATGGGAAGTAAGTTCACTGTTTTGAGTAAAAGTCTTTCCACACTCCATGCATTTATATGGCTTCTCCCCTGTGTGGATTCTTTTATGGGAAGTAAGTTCACTGTTTTGAGTAAAAGTCTTTCCACACTCCATGCATTTATATGGCTTCTCCCCTGTGTGGATTCTTTTATGGGAAGTAAGTTCACTGTTTTGAGTAAAAGTCTTTCCACACTCCATGCATTTATATGGTTTCTCCCCTGTGTGGATACTATTATGGGAATTCAGATGACCCTTCTGAGTAAAGCTCTTTCCACACTCCATGCACTTATATGGTTTTTCCCCTGTGTGGGTCCTTTTATGAGTATTAAGAGAACTGTTTCTGGTGAAGCTTTTTCCACATTCCACACATTTATAAGGTTTCTCCCCCGTGTGGATCCTTTTATGGGAAGTAAGTTCATTCCTCCTATGAAAGCTCTTTTCACATTCAGTGCACTTATACAGCTTCTCCCCTGTGTGGATTCTTTTATGGGAAGTAAGTTTACCGCTTCGAGTAAAAGTTTTTCCACACTCGATGCATTTATATGGTTTTTCCCCTGTGTGGATCCTTTTATGTGAAGTAAGTTCACTTGTAGTAATAAAGCTCTTTCCACACTCCAGGCACTTATGTGGTTTCTCTCCTGTGTGGATCCTTTTATGATACATAAGGGATGTCTTTTGAGAGAAGCTCTTTCCACACTCCAGGCACTTATGTGGTTTCTCTCCTGTGTGGATCCTTTTATGATACATAAGGGATGTCTTTTGAGAGAAGCTCTTTCCACACTCCAGGCACTTATGTGGTTTCTCTCCTGTGTGGATCCTTTTATGATACATAAGGGATGTCTTTTGAGAGAAGCTCTTTCCACACTCCAGGCACTTATGTGGTTTCTCTCCTGTGTGGATCCTTTTATGATGGGAAGTAAGATGACTGTTTTCACTAAAAGCATTTCTAGACTCCACCCATTTATACGGCTTCTCCCCTGTGTGGATCCTGTCATGGGAAGTAACTTGACAACTTGTTCTGAAAATCTTTCCAGATTCCAAACATTTACATGGCTTCTCCCCTGTGGAGATTCTTTTATGAGACGTAAGGGACCCATTTTCACAAGAAAGAGTGAAAGTCCAATTGTGATTTTTTACATTGTCTCTGCAAATATAATCTTCTCGTTTGGTTTGGGTTGGAGAGTGTTCATTTACAACTAATTTGTCTTTTAATAGTCTTACACTTTTTCCAGTATATTTTTCCTTTATTTTTCCTTGTTGGGCAAGAAAG